TAATAATGTGCATTTGATCAGATATAACTGCAGTAAAAGATTATGAGATGCATTATTTGAATGCTTGGCCAAAGAGATGTGTCTTTAATCTAGATTTAAACTAATAACAGTTATATCTGTTTTTTGATTAACCTGTTTGTAAATGTCACTTAATAAATTAATTTGGTTGGTTACATTGAATTGCACAGCACTGATTAGAAATGAAATACTAAAAGAAAAACTAGTTTGGGCATCAATTTTGGATTAACCTGTCCCAAAATGTCACATAAAAATGAATTTGGTTGGTTGGTTGGTTCCCATTTGGGAAGATACATTTTGGGGTTTTGTCGAGGAAAACAGATGGGAAACATAAGAAAATAATATGAGAATGTTTTACTTTCTTTGACAAATATAGAGCTTTTGGAAAACTGATGTTAAAGGGACTGGTCAATAATGTTCACATTATCATATGATAATATCATGAAGCAATAATCATTTAGATTACAATACAGATACATTCACAACAATGGAGAACAACAACAAGTAACTTCTCAGGTAACCAGCTGTAAAGGTGAACCAAGTGTGCCGCACAAGTCTTGAAAAGTGAAGCCAACACAGTTTGATCGCCCCCAGGTGGCTGGCCCCAGTATAGGTCATAAGTGTTCAAGTGTTTTCTTTTTTTTTAATAAGTCTGGGTTTGGTTAGTTCTGTGATGCTATGAAAACAGGGTGTGACGTAATGATTGACAGCTGAGATTGACAGCTTCTCTGAGTGAACTGAGGCACCAACTGACTTTTTCGGGATCTTCAAGAGGAGACTGGAGCTGTATTTACCTTATTTTAACACAAGCCTCTTGTACGGCAGTCAGCAGACAAATATTGGAGCAGTCAGGCTAATTAATGCTGCCGGAAGCAACACGGAGCTGTTGAATACACTAAATAGTCTTTATTAGATAAAGACACACAGGGGTAAATCCAACTCTGGAGCTAGGAACCAGGAATGACACACGAACACAACATAGTAGACCCGGCTGAGACAGACTGCACAGACTAGACTTAAACTGTTATTACACTTTTAATGCTCTCACTTACAATGACCCTCTGATCACTTTCCTCTCGCATTTCTCTCTCTCTGTCTTACACATATTCTAACTACAACTACTAGATATTTAGATATTTTTCATTAAAGAAAAACAGGGAAAAATACTCACCATTTCTTGTCAAACTGTTCATCAGAATCAACAAAGCTTTATTGCCACGATTCATAACTTAGTACTGCGCTGTAAAACTGTGATTTTATTGGATTGTGTTTTACGAGGAAATACTATTTAACATTTTACTCTTTTTTTCATACATTTCATACATTACTTTTTTTTAGTGTGCATGCAAAGTACACCTGTATAGTACAGAAATAGACCATATAAATAATGTGAAGTAAGTATAGAACTTAAGGGAAAATAAAAGTGTTAACATAATGTGGCATACATGAGTCAAAATGAACAACTGATCTGGGGAGTGTTTCCCAAAAGCATGGTTAGCTAACTTTGGTGGTAAGTTCCATTGAACTTTATTGGTAACGACAGAACTTGTGACCATAGTTGCTTTTGGGAAAAGCACCCCTGATCTGGGAGCAATGAATGTAAATCAGAGTCAATAATGAGCTCTGGGGGTGAACTGGAGGGACTGCAAAGCTGAATGTGTTCCAGCTTATACTCCAAATCCAGCATAACAGTCAATCAGATAGAGTGCAACAACATTAATCAGTCTTTTATCACTTCAGCTAAATCACCTGTGGATGGGCTTTATTCTGAACTTGTTTTTAAGATATTTTACTCTCATCACATGGCTTCAGCAGTTGTGGGTGTCATGCTGAACTCTCTGTGTCCACTAGGGGTCCGTAAACACCAGTTTCATTTCTGTCTTCATGCAGCACTTTGTTTAAATCTATATTATTTAATGCATGTGTCTCTGCTCACGTGCTGTGAATTGAGCTCATGCATTCTCATGTCTTCACTCCTGACATCTAGAAATGTCTACATTTGTAGAAAAAAATATAAATGACAACTTACATATCAAATTTAATGTCAGCATGAAATCCAGAATGACCCTATTTACTGTTTTAATGGACATTCGTGGGTTTATTGTGCTGTTGATAGTTAAATATTGAGTGTTCAAATCACTAAGTGTAACTATGAGCAATAATAATAGTGAAGAATGACTGAACTGGTGGTTGAGGAGATGCCCTCTTCTATGTAAAGCGCTTTGAGTGCCCAGAAAACCGATATATAAATGTAAGGAATTATTGTTATTATTATAATTATTATTAACAAACAGCAGTAAATATGCTAATCATTTCACTCTTGGGAGTAAACAACTAAATTAATGTCAATTTTAATAATTAATGCAAGCCTTGGCTCTCTCATTAACCCATCACATGAGATGCTATGCTTTAATTATCTGACCAGTAGAAATCACTGCTGATTGCGTCTGTTCATTTGAGACATTTTCATTAATACCCCTATATAGAGCCCAGAATTAGGATGCTCAATAAATCAGTGATGACTTGATGACTGTACTTTAACTCAACAAGTAAGCGGATAAACTCAGCTTTCGGTTCCAGAAACAGAGGTAACTCTCAGGGTATGAAAGCAGCCAGAGCAACTTATTCTCTGAACATAACCTGTCTTAACCAGGAACACACTCTGAGTTGACTGAACTTACTCCGTGAACACACTCTGAGTTGACTGAACTTACTCCCGGATGAGTTTGTGTTCATCAACGGAGAGTTCAGGGTTTAGCAGATGGTACGTTAACCCTGTTTTCTGGAATACAGCCCTGCTCTTGTGATTATCTGGCTTACTTTACAGTTTCATGACAAGTGGTTATTGTTATTCATAACTTTATGGAGAAGGACACACTTATTACTGTGACTGGTTTACTTTAAAAAAGATTTAAAAGAATCATTTCTATTTTGTCCTGACAGCAGAAAACAAAGCAAAACACACAGTACACCTCTTTATAAGGTTTAAATGTGTAAAATAGAACTTAATTCACTTATGTCTAATTCTATTGTATTTTTTTTAGTAAAATATCTATGATATAAATCAAGGTATTACCATCTGATGTTTCAGTAATGTCACAGAACATTTTGTAACAGAGAAACTGCCTTGATAACAATTTACAACAATTTATTGAGGTTACCATAGGTTTTATTTTTATTTGTTTGAGGCAATTTCTCTTTATCAGGGGAAGTTGGGAAACAAATGGCATGGGTATCTATCAAAAGTTGAACATAAATCATTTATTGAACAATTATTATATATTTACATTAAAATATGTAATTATAGCACATAGAATTAAAAAATAAATAAAAACTAATGATAAAAATAGCATCACATAATGTTGTCAGATTTTTACTTTTAAAAATCATTATTTTAATCTTGTATTTCATATTAGGAGTGTAAATTCATTTATTATAACTGACAGGTGTGATGATCAGTGGGTTGGAGTTTTTACGTCCATAGATGAAGGATGGGCTAAAAAATGGATAGAGTTTTTCAGTGAAAGGGTTGAGGAGATGCCCTCTTCTATGTAAAGCACTTTGAGTGCCCAGAAAAGCGATATATAAATGTAAGGAATTATTGTTATTATTATAATTATTATTAACAAACAGCAGTAAATATGCTAATCATTTCACTCTTGGGAGTAAACAACTAAATTAATGTCAATTTTAATAATTAATGCAAGCCTTGGCTCTCTCATTAACCCATCACATGAGATGCTATGCTTTAATTATCTGACCAGTAGAAATCACTGCTGATTGCGTCTGTTCATTTGAGACATTTTCATTAATACCCCTATATAGAGCCCAGAATTAGGATGCTCAATAAATCAGTGATGACTTGATGACTGTACTTTAACTCAACAAGTAAGCGGATAAACTCAGCTTTCGGTTCCAGAAACAGAGGTAACTCTCAGGGTATGAAAGCAGCCAGAGCAACTTATTCTCTGAACATAACCTGTCTTAACCAGGAACACACTCTGAGTTGACTGAACTTACTCCGTGAACATACTCTGAGTTGACTGAAGTTACTCCCGGATGAGTTTTTGGATCCAGCAAACCTCGAGTAAGCAAGGTTTGGGTTCATCAACGGAGAGTTCAGGGTTTAGCAGATGGTACGTTAACCCTGTTTTCTGGAATACAGTCCTGCTCTTGTGATTGTCTGGCTTACTTTACAGTTTCATGACAAGTGGTTATTGGTATTCATAACTTTATGGGGAGGACACACTTATTACTGTGACTGGTTTACTTTAAAAAAGATTTAAAAGAATCATTTCTATTTTGTCCTGACAGCAGAAAACAAAGCAAAACACACAGTACACCTCTTTATAAGGTTTAAATGTGTAAAATAGAACTTAATTCACTTATGTCTAATTCTATTGTATTTTTTTTGGTAAAATATCTATGATATAAATCAAGGTATTACCATCTGATGTTTCAGTAATGTCACAGAACATTTTGTAACAGAGAAACTGCCTTGATAACAATTTACAACAATTTATTGAGGTTACCATAGGTTTTATTTTTATTTGTTTGAGGCAATTTCACTTTCTCAGGTGAAGTTGGGAAACAAATGGCATGGATATTTATCAAAAGTTGAACATAAATCATTTATTGAACAATTATTATATATTTACATTAACAATATGTAATTATAGCACATAGATTTAAAAAAAGATAAAAAATAGCACATGATGTTGTCAGATTTTTACTTATAAGAATCATTATTTTAATCTTGTATTTCATATTAGTAGTTTTATTTTTATTTGTTTGAGGCAATTTCACTTTCTCAGGTGAAGTTGGGAAACAAATGGCATGGATATTTATCAAAAGTTGAACATAAATCATTTATTGAACAATTATTATATATTTACATTAAAATATGTAATTATAGCACATAGAATTAAAAAATAAATAAAAACTAATGATAAAAATAGCATCACATAATGTTGTCAGATTTTTACTTTTAAAAATCATTATTTTAATCTTGTATTTCATATTAGGAGTGTAAATTCATTTATTATAACTGACAGGTGTGATGATCAGTGGGCTGGAGTTTTTACCTCCATCATTAAAGCATGGGCTAAAATATGGATAGAGTTTTTCAGTGAAAGACTGAGCAGTGAAAGAGTAGATATGAGAGCTGGACTCCACATCATAAAAGCAGACCAGACCCTCCTCATAATCCACAAACACACCGACCCGCTGCGGCTTCACTCTCAGAGACAGAGAGACAGAAGGACCATCACAGGCTTCATATTCATCTCCATTCATCAGAGCCACAGTCCAGTATCCATCACTGGGTCTCAGTGTGATCGCTCCCTTCCTGTTAATGGATTCTCTGGCCACTCCTAAATCCCATTCAGTCTTTCCCTTCACCTGCACCTCAAAATAAAATCTCCCTGACGAGAATCCCTCCTTTCCCAAGACACAGGGACATGGATCAAATCTCTCTGGTTTGTCTGGGAGTTTCTGTCTAATGTCTCCACATCTCACTTGTTTTCCATCATCAGACAGAATGAGTTCAGGATGAGCTGTATCAGGATCCAGAGTCACATCCACTGAGAAAACAGAGAATATAGTTCTCAACTTCACAAAAGAGATATTCTGTGACGCTGTTTTTAACATGTAATCCAGTGTTTAATCAGATTGTAGAGCAGTAATGAAGCTGTGAGTGTATGAATGTAAACTAGTGTAGTGCAGACAGCACACTGTACCTGCATACTGCTGCATCACCTTCAGCTCTGTAGAGAC